AGAGAAGAGGTGAAGGCCAATCAGACAGCAGGGGTGATCCTGAGCGGCAACAGTCTGGTGCTACAGCAAGTGGAGAGGTCTAGTGCCGGGGAGTACACATGTTCAGCCACCAACACCCAGGGCACTCAGCTGTCGAACCCAGTCACGCTGGACATTATGTGTGAGTAGTGATCTTATCCTTTACCGGCCTCTAGAGGTGTAATACAGAGGTCTTTAGGCTAGGTATACCAGGAGGTTATAATGTGCTATGTATACATTCACCAAATCCATAACTGCTGTGTACATAACAATTTATAGAAGATAATCCAAATTAAAAGTAAATCCAATATGTTCGTATAATCTTGGTGAAGTTTTGTAAAGTTGAAGATAACAAAGGAAAATTTAATCTGATGAAATTATTATATATCACCAATGTTATATTAATGTCTTGTGAGTTATTTAAAAAGATGTCCCTATTTTGTAAAAAGTTAATAGAAAATGTTATCTAAGATTATTTTAATGTAATGAACGAGGTCTTGAAAGTTGTCCTGAAGTGTTATATTAATATTTCAGTTCCCTTACGAAGAAAGGTAATGCGAAATTTTAATAAAAAACTACAAATGTGTGTTAATATCTAGTGGAAAATATTTAGCTTAAATCAATGGACTACGGTATACTGTATATATGGTCAGAATAATGCATCTATCTAATTGTTATATAAAACATCATTAACATTGTACAAACTGATTTTGAGACAAGAGTGAATTAATGAGTTAAAAAAAAAGACATTTCCTTTCCTTATCAAAAGCAAATTGAAACCAAGGGAACAAAAGCAGTACAAGACCAGTAAAGCCAGGAACATATTTAAAAGTTTGTGAGAAAGTTAGAACATGAACAACATTTGTTAGCGAGTCTTTACAAGTTCAATTTTAAGGTCACGAAGGATGAGAACTAAATAAAAATGTAATTTGCACAAATTGGTAAGATTTCATGATCATATCTCTCACACACTGACTATAAGAAATAAAAGAGGGCATGAAAAAGTGGTGCTTGATATTTTGGTAATATTTTGGTCAGCTGAGAGTAAGAGAGTAAGAGAGAGAGAGAGAGAGAGAGAGAGAGATTTTTAACAATTTAACCAAGATAAAATTATTGAGGAGTTTACAGGTCGAGGAGAGAGAGAGAGAAAAAAAACTTCTTCAGAAACAAAACTAGAAATTTTGGTGAATAAATACTTATTGCTGGGCAGATCTGAGACCATAATCCTGGAAGCATTATTCCAGGAGATAAAAGTCTATTCCAGAGAGCGCCTGGAAAGTTTGTGTGGAGGTTATGAAGAGTTTTAAGTGCTTCGTTAATCCTCGCTACTGCCTGTGATTAAATGGAGTTTATGTCTTTGTTTTTAATGCTGAATGGATACACACACACACACACACACACACACACACACACGTACAAGCAAACACAGCATACGAATGCACAGGTCACAGGAAATTTCTGAACACTAACCACCTCACATGTAAATACGCACATATACACACACACACACACACACACACACACACACACACACACACACACACACACACACACACACATACACACAATAATTCCCACCACACACAAGCTTCCTCAGTCTTCTAGCCCACGTCATAGTTGAGTTAAAAAACGATCCAATTCTATTGTTTTAAGAGTTTGAAGTTATTTTAGTAGAAGACACTCAAGAGGAGAGCCTTTCATCTCCTATCCTTGGCAGCATAGAGACGAAAAATACCATAGTGTGTCTAGTGAATTAAATATTAAGTTAATTGATGATGACTCTTTTGTAAAAGTGACAGATTTAACAATAATATAGTATCATCTGCCTCACCTTAATAACATCTATGTAAGCTAGCCCTATCTCTCTCTCTCTCTCTCTCTCTCTCTCTCTCTCTCTCTCTCTTTCCAATATCATCAAACAGGATACACTTCATTAATTACCTTTACTTTCCTGTTGGGTTTAATTTACTCAGAATAATACCAGGGGTTTTATTTTCCACTGTTGACTATCTTCCCGCAGTGACCTGAAGGCTGAGGAAACAATGTTGATGAATCACGAGTGAGATGTTTACCTTCGTCAGTAGAAGTGTAGGAGGCAAGGGAGAGAGAGGGAGGAAGGGAGGAGAGAAGGAGGGGTAGGAAGAGCGATAAGGAGGAAGAGAAAGAGGGAAGAAAATATGAAGAAATAGAGGATGGGAAGTAGAGAGGGATAAAAAGAGAATGGAAATATTATTATGGAGGAAGGATGTAACACGGGGCAGAGGGGATATAGGAAGGGCAGACAGGATATTATAATTAAGTTGACAGTGTTTCCAAGGCCTTTAGTACACACACACTGTTTCCCTCATCCCATCCTCACTATCTATATGCATTAATTGTCATCAAGAATTCATGTGTACACTTCACCCCAAGTTAACTAACTATGTGTATTAACTATACCTCTTATAATTCATGTGTACATCTCACTCACTAACTATGTTCATTAACTATCATCCGGGGTTACATATGTACACCTCACAGCAGACTCACTAACTATGTACATTAACTCACAACTACGACACTGGTTGAGAGGGGGAGAGAAATAATGGGTTTTGTAAAGTTGGTTTTGTATCACTCACCACAAACTCCCCTTTGAACTACTGAGTTGTTTTGTGCAGCTGCTGAATTGTTACTTTTATTGTACAATTTTTTGTTCTCGTCTTTTAGTTTTTTAATTTTCATATACTGTGTGTGTGTGTGTGTGTGTGTGTGGGTAAGGGTAATAATAATAATAATAATAATAAATAATCAACGGTTTATTGAAGGAGCATAGCGGCCAGAAGGCTGAAAATATACAGTTACATATCTGGGGAACGGGTTTCGATTTACAAATAATATACAAGTAACATAAGTGATACAAATAAGATATATAATAACTAGATGGGGAAAAGCTCAAACTACAGGGCATTTCAACATAGTGACAGTGCAAGAAGTAGTATTTACTGGGAGTGAATACACTGGTTTATTACAAGTTATTGATAATTTTTACAATGGTTGGGACTGGGCTGTTCTTATAGCGATCAGTTCGTGCACGTTTGGGCTGGATGCGGTTGTGGTGTCGAACAGCAATTCTCGGGCTAGGGATCTCAGGTGGTAGTAGGAGCCGGTGTCGAGGATGGTGTGTGTGTGTGTGTGTGTGTGTGTGTGTGTGTGTGTGTGTGTTTGAGATGTATTAATACAACGATCTTCCTGCTGAAGACTTTAATTCCTTTTATTTCCTGTAAAGTATATTATAACACTATCCTTCATCTCTATATTTCCACTCCTTTTATTCATCTCCACTATTTCCTTCGTTATTATAGATCTCTACTTCCTCTCTGTAACAAACACCCTCCCACCTCTTCTCTCTCCTTCATTTACACAGTCATCACTCATCTTTCTTCTTCCCTCTTTACTATAAATCCTCCACTCATCTCTAAAGTTCCATTCCTCCAGTTGATCCTTAGTCCTTTCCTCTCTTTTAAAGGCGACCCGTCACTCCTTTACGCTACCTGGCTGGCACAGTCCTACCGCTTCCCTACATCTAGTCCCTTTCGTCCCTTCTCAATTACAAAACCACCGCTCCCTACTCACCTCCCCCTCCCTCTCTGGTTTGGAAGCACCACTCACCCCACTTGTTCCCTCTCCGTTACAGATCCTCCGGAGTGCATGGTGGACAAGCCGACAGTGCTGGCGGTGGGTCGGGGCGAGAGGGTCAACATCTCCTGTCGTGTAGCCAGCAATCCTGCCAGGTCAGAGGTCAACAAGGGGGCCAAGACTATGCTCGTTAATTCAGTTAATTTTTTTTTTTTTAATTATCTTCCCATCTATGAAAAGGAATAGGTTGAGTTTTTCATATCCTCTTTAAATTTCTCTCTTTCTCTCCTTTTTCTTCTTATCTCCATCTTTCCTCTGTACTTGAAGTCATTAAGCAACAGGTGTGCTCCTGTGGACATCCCAAAATCAAAACATTCGGATGATTATACAACTCTATTAATAATATTGGTGACAGTGTTTCATAAATAACCTACAACACTTGTTCATAATACAATTATATGATAATTACTTTATTTCACAGTTGCTATCGGTAATGTACATGAAAAATCATTATTCTGAAGACAAACATATTATACAAACTGGTCTTCTAACTTATTGAGAGAATATCTTACACTAAATTAAACACATCGCTCAAACTGACATTTCTTGATTCGGGTATATAAGTGATACCAGACATCCATCCTACAGTAGAATATTGACTATGTGTCTCGACCAGGCGCTAAATGTAAGTTTCCAACACTCCCTTGTAAATAAATTTGATTCTATATTAATCAGCTGTGTAAACGTACTTTCTTCCGTTAGTAGTGTTTGTAAACATATTTTCCTTTTGATAATTTTGCAAACGTTCCTTGTCCAGCTGATAACGTCTGCAAACACATCACCTATAGTGGATAAGGTTTGTAAACGTAATTTCTCCAGCTGATGACATTAGTAAACATATGCCGTTAAGTTGACAACGTTAGTAAACATATCCTCTCCGGCTGCTGACACTTGTAAACCAACTGTGTGTAGCAAACAGCATTAGGTTAAAACATATGAAGGACCTGTGGTAGTAAATATTTATATTCTTGTTGTCTCTGAGGCAAGAACCAACCTCACTCAAGTAAAATATTTAGCATTTTATTTTCTTATTCACTAGAGTTACAGTTTAATATTTCTATATTACACGATGGTGAAATAGTAAGTTAATATATGTTATATTTAACCCTAAACTCGTGTCATCTGAGGTTTTGTTGAAAAGTAGTATTTAATTATAGTAAGGACATTATTTCATATGATCTATAAATCTCTGTTGAGCTCCCCAGCTGAGAAGAGTTGTATTAAGTGTGCATTGAATGGGTTAAGAAGCTTCGGTGTGCGGTGAAGCTCCTGATTCTTGAAGATTTTTACATTGGGTCTTACACATGAGTGAGAGACTAAAACTACTGTGACCGAGAGTTATGGTAAATTAGGGTTTTTATTTTGATCGTTATCCTTGTGACGTTCAATGTGTATGTGAGTTAGATTACATTCGACCGACTAACGTTGAGATAGAAACATTTTAACATAAGATGGTTTGAGAACTCCACCCCCCCATCCACCACACACACACAGAGATAAGTCTAACCCTACGTCTGAGAGGCACTTGACATTGTTTTCTCGAGGATGACTTGTACTTGGCCACATTGTCTCTAGGAGAGGTATGGATGTTGCTCACCTCACTCCAGTCATCCGGAAGTGTGTATAGATTATTCCCTTCCCTCACACCTTCCACACAGATAGAACTCCCAGAAGTACTTTTAACCGAATCCAGAATCCACCCTTGAAAACGTCTAGTACAAAATATTGAGTAAGGTTATATTCCATAAACATAATTCTAGGTGGCATTTATGTCTGTATATGAAAAAAAAACTCTCAGGACACACACACACACACACACACACACACACGCAACCTGTGACCTTATTCACTTTCTGTTGCCTTCTCTCACAATAATATTAATTGCCTTTCCCCTTAAAGAGCCATCCTCTCTCACAAATACAGTCACCTTATCTCCCCATTACAGTCACCTTATCTCCCCACTACAGTCACCTTATCTCCCCATTACAGTCACCTTATCTCCCCACTACAGTCACCTTTTCTCCCCATTAGAGTCACCTTATCTCCCTATTACAGTCACCTTATCTCCCCATTACATTCACCTAATCTCCCTGTTACAGTCACCTTATCTCCCCACTACATTCACCTTATCTCCCCATTACAGAGTCACTTTATCTCCCCACAGAGCTACCTTCCACTGGCGCCTCAACGGGTCTGTCAACACCTATACGTCTAAGGGGGAGCCGATGCAGTGGGGCCACCTTGTGTCTCACTATACATTCCTGGGAACCTCGGACAAGGACTATGGCATGTTGCACTGCTGGGCCAACAACTCCATAGGCGTCCAGGACAGCCCCTGTGTCTTCCAGATCATACCAGCAGGTGAGTGTACGTGTGTCTGGCTCTGATCAGGGTTTCTGTAGGTTTGTGTGTGTGTGTGTGTGTCTGTCTGTGTATACTGTATGTGTATTAATACGAGTGTGTGTGTGTGTGTTTGTGTATGTGTATTAATACGAGTGTGTGTGTGTGTGTACGGGTGCGTTTAGGTCTCTATTTGCGTGCCGTGAGGAATACAGAATATAAATATATCGGTACACCTTATCAAGAACACTGTTTATGGTAACACCTTTAGCACACACTTCTCATACCACTATAAGAAAAACTTTTTTGAATGGATTAGTTTTTTTTAGTTTTTTCTCTTTCTCTGTTTTTCTTTTTCTAGAGACTGAAATGTTTACCGTTGTTAACAAAAGTAGTATAGAGCATAATAACGTGTTGTTTTATTTGCACGTTTACAAAAGGAATTATTTTTTTCCAGGCTTTAATTTTATATATATAAATATAATTACTACTACGGGTAATAATAATAATAATAGTAATAATAATAATATGTTTATAACTCAACTAAAATACGCAATACATCTCCAAATGACCTAAAACTCATGGCTTCAATGATTAGGTCACTCCAACTACCCACCGTAGAGAAGCGTTTGGCTGATCCAATGTCCGTGCCAAACTCTTAAGAAATTCTGGCCAATCCCTCAAAAGTTTTCGTGTTCACAAGAATGATGTGCCACCAACACGGACGGAATAGCTATACTGGGGCGTGGTGAGTCGTATCTTGAGCAAAACAATAGTAATTAATGATGACACAGGATATTAAGGCGTTCTCTAATGGTCATCATCAATAATTATACTAGAAAAATACCTCAATATCATAGCTAAATGTAAATGACCCTTGTTCCTCTTAGGTTTAAACGTGTATCAATATATCAGTGTTTAAATAGCTGTATTGTTTGCCTTAACTAGCAATATAAATACAGGTATTATCCACCTAAGTATCATGGGTGATGACATCAGTCGAGGAGGCTTGGTGTTGGGCTGCTAGACCCCTGCAGAACCAGGACACGGAACTGATAGCAATAATTCGTACTTTAGTGGTCTCGTTCTCGGCTCTTATTATATCACAAGAAAGTAACAACTTCAATAACAATAATATGTAAACAAAGACAACAAGTACAATATAGAACATCCAGCTTGTGTTTACTAAATGTAGCTTTTGTTATTTTGTTGTTGATAGAAACAGAAATATAGATTCTAAAACCAGTACGTAGTCTGTTTGTAAATCCTCTTATAAATATTTCACATGATCAACTCCCTCTTCTCAAAATAAACATAATACTTACTGATGTTGTATAAATCTAGTTACTTCACCACCTACACAAGACCTTACTGTAGCTATACAGTATATCTCAATAAACTTCTCCTGGCATCAGAATCTAAATCTACTTAAACTATTTCTCATAAGCATTTATACAGAGCGAGTGATATTAACATCTAAATATAGTACACGTCTCCACATTTTCCACTAGCATGGCAGACTCCGGCAGTCAGTACGGTCTTACGAGGAGGTCTGGCAGCCTCTTCAATATTTCTGAAGAAAAAAAATCATCGGCAAGAGATTTTCAGATGAGAGTTCAAAAGATTTTATATACTATATTATCAATGAGGTGTATGTGTGTGTGTGTGTGTGTGCGAGTAGTTGTACACACGAGTGTTTTACTGTTTATTTGCACTATATGTGTGTACCTGTGTTCGGTGTATGGGTCGGTATCTTGTGAGTGCCTTTGTATACTAAATTCCTTAAGAAAGAAAGATGAGTTTTCGATGGTGTATGCTTGTGTTGTCCACCACTCACACTATTAACACACAAATGCGCATCTGCATGAACGCTTATCTGTACTGGTTAGTAACATTTTATCTTCATTATGTGTACTATATTACCCGTGAATCGATATAACACATAACTGCAAAAGATTAATGTTTGAGATGCACATAACACCTTACATTTCAGCTTCCCTCACAGACCAGGGTCGATTCCCCTCGTCTGGGGGTCGAACCCCTTACCCGCGTCCCGCTGAGACAGGTTCCTCCTCTCTTCCACTCCAACTGACGACCACTGTGCCTCCCTCACAGCTCAATACCTCTCCTGGATGTGTGTATTTTTAGTCAGTCTCTCCCTCCCTCTCATCCTCTCCCTCCTTCTCATCCGGCACCAACCTTCCAAAGGAGGGATTCTGTCCTCCCTCCTTCTGACCGCTGCCAGCATTCTGAAATGACAACATGGAGAAATTTCAAGAAATACAGTATTGCTGTTTTCTCATGATGACAGTCCTGAGTTTTCTTATATACAGGTGTGTTTGACTTCCTTTCTTTTTTCTTTCTTTCCAACACTCAACGCAATAGTTCATCTTATTCTTCACTTCAACATTCTCTTACCTCCAGCCTCTGTTCTCCCAAAGTGACTCTTACTCCCTTCACTACAACCAATGATTAAACACCACCACCTTGCCTCCACCTTAGGATTTTCTCAAAGGTATAAAACCATCATCCTTCAGACTGACTAGCATCTACCAGATCCTCCAACACTCCCCAAATTATCCTCACCAAATCCTGGACTGTCAGACCTACAATTTACCTCCTTCACCATCCTTACTTAAAAATCCAGAGCGTTATACATGCTCCTCCAGGTCCCTAACCCCCTCTACCCCCCCCCCCACCATCCTTGCTAATAACCCCAGGACTCTATCTCGTGTACCACCAGGTCCCCCGTCTTCGCCCGAGCATTGTGAAATCATCAACAACACGGCAGAGAACATCGAGGTCTTCTGTGAACACGGCTTCGATGGCGGAATGCGACAGCTCTTCCTGGCAGAGGTGTACGATGAGAGGGGATCCTTACACCTCAATAGATCGTCGGAGGAGCCTCAGTTCTCCGTGGAGTCTCTACAGCCGGGGACGACCTACACCATCAGAATCTCTGCATTTAACGACAAGGGCAGGTCTCCCCCAATAGTCCTCACGGCCGTCACGCTCAAAGTGGCAGAGCAAAGAGTCGGTGAGTCAGGGCACGATAGTAGTAGTAGTAGTAGGAGTGATTTTGTTGACTGCAGTAGTCGTAGTAGCGGTGATAGAGAAGTGCTATTGATAATAGTAAATACCCTGTACTGTAGCAGAAATAATAAGTGTTGTTCTTGTTGTGTTAATAGCAATGGCAGTATTTGTTGTACTAGTTGTGTTTTTAGTAGCACTAATTAATACAGTAGAGATGATAATAGTCCTAGTTGCTATTTTTGATGTTTTGTTGTTGTAATAGCAATAGTAGTAGTAAAAGCTGCATTAATGGTTGGAGTAGTAGTAGTAATAGTAGCAGTAATACATAAACAGACTAGACTATTATTAAGTACACATGTAAACAAACACTACAGATAAATGAACTGATGGTTGATTCGTCAGTATAGTGAGTGACATTTGAAGTCATGAATGGACAGATTTTGTTGTTATGTTTTTTGGTTTTATTGTTGTTTTTTGTGAGTTCTATGTGATAATACTATTTGGCTGTGACGATATTATAAGTGACTAGTGATGTATAAAGATATATGAAGATTTTTCCCTGTGTGTGTGTGTGTGTGTGTGTGTGTGTGTGTGTGTGTGTGTGTGTGTGTGTGTGTGTGTGTGTGTGTGAGATCCAATATTTATCAGAGTTGTTGTCCAGGTAATCGCAGGTAAGATCAACACTCCTCAAGGCTTTCCTTCTTTGGTCCGAGAGACAATAAGAACAATTATGTCACTTTAATGTCCAGGCGGTGTTTACCTCCGAGACACTGTGAGTTTGCACCGAAAATCAAGTGTCGTCGATTTGATTAGACACAATGTTTATTTTTCGAAGGAAGCGACTGAGGTGGAAAGAGAGAGACAGAGAGACAAAAAGAGAAGAGAAAATAGGAAGGAGAAAATAGGGAAAAATTGTGAAAACAGAGAACTAGAGAAAAGAGACCGACAGACAGAAAGAGGAGTAAAGAGGGAGTAAAAGGGATAATAGAGAAGGATAACCAGATAGAAAGGTGATAAAAATAGGTAAAGAGAAGAAGAAGAGAGAGACATAAAGGGGGGAAAACGAAGAGAAAATAGGGAGTAAGAGGGATAACAGAGAAGCTAGAGAAGAGAGACAGACAGACATAAAGAGGAGAAAATAGGGAGTAAGAGGAATAACAGAGAAATAGAGAGAAGAATAACCAGATAGAAAGGTGCTAAAAATAGGTAAAGAGGAGAAGAAGAGAGACGAAGAGAAATCCAAGCTAACAGGTAGAAAAATCGCGGAAGAAATTGAAAATGAGAAATAGAAATTAAAAAGACGAAAGAAAGAAAGAAAGAGGATTTACAATTATCTACACTCATAAAAAATGAAGTACAAACGCTCTTTCGCTTTTCTAATAAGACATTTAGGATGAGAACTAAAGAAAATCAATCTACTGTTTTGTGACCTCGTGCAAATATCTGTCTGTCTGGCTGTGTATCTGTCTGTCTGTGTATCTGTCTGTCTGTCTGTGTATCTCTGTCAGTCTGTATATCTATCTGTCAGTCTGTATATCTGTCTGTCAGTCTGTGTATCTGTCTATCAGTCTGTGCATCTATCTTTCATCTCTGTCTGTCTGTCAGTCTGTGTATCTGTCTGTCAGTCTTTGTATCTGTCTGTCTGTCTGTGTATCTGTCATTCATGTCTGTCTGTCAGGCTGTGTATCTGTCTTTCATGTCTGTCTGTCAATTTGTGTATCTGTCTTTCTCTTTCCCTGTCTATCAACCTGTCGTGTTTGTAAAGTGTCTCGTGATAGCGTGAGGGACAGTCAGGCGTGGCTTCCATTTCTGTTGTTTCTGACTGTGGTTCTGTCTGTTGTGGCGCAGTCTGTTGTGGTGCTGTCTGTTGTGGTGCTGTCAGTTGTGGTGCTGTCTGTTGTGGTGTTGTCTGTTGTGGTGCTGTCTGTTGTGGTGCTGTCTGTTGTGGCGCTGTCTGTTTGTGGTGCTGTCTGTTGTGGTGCTGTCTGTTGTGGTGCTGTCTGTTGTGGTGCTGTCTGTTGTGGTGTGCTGTCTGTTGTGGTGCTGTCTGTTGTGGTGCTGTCTGTCTGTTGTGGTGCTGTCTGTTGTGGTGCTGTCTGTTGTGGTGCTGTCTGCTGTGGTGCTGTCTGCTGTGGTGCTGTCTGTTGTGGTGCTGTCTGTTGTGGTGCTGTCTGTTGTGGTGCTGTCTGTTGTGGTGCTGTCTGTTGTGGTACTGTCTACTGTGGTGATGTCTACTGTGGTTCTGTCTACTGTGGTGCTGCCTGTTGTGGTTCTGTCTGCTGTGGTACTGTCTGCTGTGGTACTGTCTGCTGTGGTTTTCTCTGTTGTGGTACTGTCTGTTTATATAAATGTATGTTGCGGTGCTGTCTGTTGTGGTTCTGTCTGTTGTGGTTCTGTCTGCTGTGGTGATGTCTACTGTGGTGATGTCTACTGTGGTGCTGTCTGTTGTGGTTCTGTCTGCTGTGGTGCTGTCTACTGTGGTGCTGTCTGCTGTGGTTTTGTCTGTTGTGGTACTGTCTATTTATATAATGTCTACTGTGGTGATGTCTACTGTGGTGCTGTCTGTTGTGGTTCTGTCTGCTGTGGTTCTGTCTGCTGTGGTACTATCTGTTTATATAATGTCTGCTGTGGTTCTGTCTGTTGTGGTTCTGTCTGCTGTGGTTCTGTCTGTTGTGGTTCTGTCTGCTGTGGTACTGTATGTTGTGGCACTGTATGCTATGAAGCTGTTTTTTGTGGTTCTGTCTGCTGTGGTACTGTATGTTGTGGCACTGTATGCTATGAAGCTGTCTGCTGTGGTTCTGTCTGCTGTGGTACTGTATGTTGTGGCACTGTATGCTATGAAGCTGTCTGTTGTGTTCTGTCTGTTGTGGTTCTGTCTGTTGTGGTTCTGTCTGTTGTGCTGCTGTCTGCTCTGTCTGTCTGTGTTGCTGTGGTACTGTCTGCTGTGCTGTGGTACTGTCTGCTGTGGTACTGTATGTTGTGGCACTGTATGCTATGAAGCTGTCTGCTGTGGTTCTGTCTGCTGTGGTTCTATCTATTGTGGTTCTGTTTGGTGTGGTTCTGTTTGCTGTGGTACTGTCTGCTGTGGTACTGTATGTTGTGGCACTGTATGCTATGAAGCTGTCTGTTGTGGTTCTGTCTGTTGTGGTTCTGTCTATTGTGGTTCTGTCTTTTGTGGTTCTGTCTGTTGTGGTTCTGTCTGTTGTGGTTCTGTTTGGTGTGGTTCTGTTTGCTGTGGTACTGTCTGCTGTGGTACTGTATGTTGTGGCACTGTATGCTATGAAGCTGTCTGCTGTGGTTCTGTCTGCTGTGGTTCTGTTCTGTTTGTTGTGGTTCTGTCTGCTGTGGCTCTGTCTGCTGTGGTACTGTATGTTGTGGCACTGTATGCTGTGAAGCTGTCTGTTGTGGTTCTTCGTTGTGGTTCTGTTTGCTGTGGTACTGTCTGCTGTGGTTCTGTCTGCTGTGGTACTGTATGTTGTGTGTATGTTGTGGCACTGTATGCTGTGAAGCTGTCTGCTGTGGTTCTGTTTGCTGTGGTTCTGTCTGCTGTGTTTCTGTCTGCTGTGGTACTGTCTGCTGTGGTTCTGTCTGTGTGGCTTGTCTGCTGTGGTTCTGTCTGCTGTGGTACTGTATGTTGTGGCACTGTATGCTGTGAAGCTGTCTGTTGTGGTACTGTATGCTGTGAAGCTGTCTGTTGTAATGCTATCTGCCAGATGTTGTTTACGGGGATAACTACTAAGGCATTGTCTGGTGGGACGTTGTCATCTGTGTGCTGTTAATGAATGATTTATGCTGGGGTCGTGTCGGGAAGAATATAATGTGCTGTTTTATATCTGCTGGGCTGGGTGTGTGTGTGTGTGTGTGTGTGTGTGTGTGTGTGTGTGTGTGTGTGTGTGTTTGTACAGTAAATCGTCATCACGTTTTTCATTGTTTAGCCTCAATTTATAACCAAGCCTTTACTAATACAGAGCAAATTTTTACTATAATATCGCCACATGTTGACCTACACTTGTCCACATGCAATACACGCAGTGCATGTTACCCTGTTAGCTCACGTGGGGATACTTATTGCTGGAGGTATTTATGTCAACAATTTAGTTCTCAGATTCTCAAAGTGTCTAACATTTATTTTCATCAGATTTAGTTTGGAATGAAAAAGAAGTGTAATATATTAGAGGAGAATCAGAATGTAATTAATGCACTATATTTGCGTAGTAGACAAAATGAACCAATTAGAGCGTGGACCTTTAAGAAACACGGTCCAGCAGAGGAACAGCGACTCCCTCTGGGGGAAGACAATTCAAATTACTGTGTTTACGTGCGTCACGCCATCACGGGTTTGGTTTGTCTAGTCTGCTTTAACTATTCATAGTCCAGGAAGTAATTGTGTTGACCGTACTAAGAAGGAGACAGCGGCCATCTAGAAGCTGTAATTTTATGAGTCACAGTTGATGTGCGTGATCAAGGGCAGACCAAACACCACCACATGAGACTGGGGGGGGGGGGCCTTTTACTGTCAGGCACTGACTGTATCTAGTACTGACACTGACACATTTAGTCTCTCTCTAGTGCCTGTTTACTTCTAACAGTCATGGAGAAGACACTACGTTATTATGACCACAAGTGTTTGTATACACGAACATGACCAGATCTTATAGAAGCAACATTATTATATCTCAATCTGGTTGTGGTATGTTACGTGGGTGACTCCATGGGTTGGCTGTCTCAACCGAGTAGATAAACGTAACATCAGGTTCGCGTATTTGACTCCTTGGGTAAATTGTCTTAATTTATCTGTGACACATGACAAATAAACTCCGATACCTGAAGGCAGGTGAGGAGTGTGTGTGTTTGTGTGTGTGTGTGTGAACGACGTTATTATTGGTGGACACACTTCTCTCGTTTAACAGACGTTTAAAATAAAGTGTTTCTGGTGGTAATAAAAACGACATAAGAAAACGATTGAGAATATATCATCCAGACGTTTATCAACCAACCTAAAGAATACTGATAGGATAAAACATACTAAGAATACTGGTTCACTCTCCAACGATGTCGCATCAATCGAAGAAAGAAATACACACACCGAGTATAATCTTCCTATCGTGTACAAGTTGTGCTTCATCACTATAATAATCTTGCTGATAGCGTATCTTGTGCTTGTATGATAGTCTGTTATGTGGATGTATCAGAGTGTATTAGTCGAGAATTGCACATGATTTAAGTGGACTGGTAAAGTTATTGCTAAAAACACTAGGTTGTAAGTCACTACTGTATCTGCTTGATCTAACACGCTTTAGTTTTAATGACAGAGAAAGTTACTTGTTTAAAGAACCTTGAAATACGTAATTTCCACGGTCTTACACTTTATTTTTCCAGATATAAACGTGGTAACATAACCCAAGTGTCATACTAATCAACAACTCTTAAGTTAATATGGTTTATGTTACTTGAGGAGAGAGGAACTAATCGCTGTAGTTTTAATTCACATTAAGGAGAAAACAGTGTCTCAGTACCCGACAGCTAAGTACACGTATCGATATAAACTAATGATCTAATCTAATGAGTTACATAACAAAACATTACCTTACGTTAGTTCAGGTAAGACGAGTCACCTGCTAAGGACGTTTAACATGTCAATGGTCAGGAGAGGTTAGAGACAGATTAGTGTATTAGATAATTGGTTCACATTATTTGATTTTTTAAGTAGTTGTATTATCAACGTCAATTAAGTTTGTATAGAAATAAATATTTACTCATATTCGTGTTTTAGTGTGTAAGTAAAACTTTTATGTATAGTGTGTGTGCGTGTACATAAATATGGAGGTTGTGTTTGTATGCATGAATGTATATTGGAAAACGTGAGTGTAAACAATTATATTTATGTTTAAAATGGTTTGTGTGTGTGTATGTGAATGGTAATATTCAATATTTCAACTACGAAAACGGAAAATATAATCATATAAATACATATGCAAAGAAAATATAACAAGAAAATACGAAAAACATCAACACAACTTCCTTACCACAGGCGAACAAAAACGCCACCATTAAGAGAACACAAGGCAGCCATCCATTAACGGGAAAAAAGAGAGAGGAAACAAGAAACTTTCATATTCAGTAAATTTAAAACCCTGGAAGAAGACTATCGAGTTATTGGAAATCGATGACGTCACCATTGTTTATCAGCAAAGTTGTCAGCGGCCACCAGATGTCTTCCTCCGCTTTTACTTCTTTATTTCTTGTTCTCCTGTTTTGCTTCTTACTGTTGTGTGAATTATCAGTATTAATTTATATATTTACCTTCTCTCTGTTTCTTATTATTTTCATAAGTAAGAAGAAATAAGTAATTTATCCAAGGTCAACACAGCAGGTTGGCCTCGAGTCATTACTGAGGTCACTGTAGTTTCCTGCATCTCATAACTTTTTATCTTGTCACCCTTCACAAAGTCTCCTCTCCTTATCTCCTCTGCTTAGCAACAGGGAGCGATAAGACTGATAACAACTAGGGGAAGAGATACTGAGAACACTTTTTACATGATTCATTATATTCTTACTTATACTAAAGTACTTGTATGGTCGTTTTCGTTATTTTATCATATCTTAAATAGAGACGTAGAGAAAAGGCACTGCGATTATCATGTATTGTCAAGAACTATTTATACACATCTACCACATACACATAACTACCACCTTCACCACCGCCTACACACCACCACCACACGCAAGAGTCAGAACTACCACTCACAGGCTGGAGTAAATGGGTCTTAATAACTCGTTACTAACATTAAATAGGTACAGTAAATGGGTGAGGCTGGCCCAATTCCCAGCAGGTACAAGATGGCCCTGTGCCACCATCGGCTATATAATGGCACCTGGCACGTGTAATGGGTGCCATATTTCACCTTGCCTGTACCCAGCTGTGTCGCCAGTTAGGACAGCAAGCTTCAAGTTTACACTACAAGTTAAGACTGGATGTTGGTACTCTGATGAGACACGTGGAGTGTGACGGGTGAGGGTGAAGAGAGCGAGGAGTGTGACGGGTGAGGGTAAGGAGGAGGGGGTAGAGTGTGACGGATGAGGGTGAGGAAGATGGGAAGTGTGACGGGTGAGGATGAGGAGTGTGAACGGGTGAGGGTGAAGAGAGCGAGGAGTGTGACGGGTGAGGGTAAGGAGGAGTGGGTAGAGTGTGACGGATGAGGGTGAGGAAGATGGGAAGTGTGACGGGTGAGGATGAGGAGGATGAGGAGTGTGAACGGGTGAGGGTGAAGAGAGCGAGGAGTGTGACGGGTGATGGTGAGGAGGAGGGGGTGGAGTGTGACGGGTGAGGATGACGAAGATGGGAAGTGTGACGGGAGGGATGAGGGTGGGGAATGTGGCTACGAAACTGAAACACACACACACACACACACACACACACACACACACACACACACACACACACACACACACACACAAACACACACTTTAGTGACTATTAAAGTCAATCTCTAATTAAATTTGAGTCAGTATCTTATGGTTCTGAGTCAACGTTTAACTAAGATGATAATGTAGGTTGTATGAGTAACTGTGACTAATCTTACTGTTTGGGTAATTTTATTCAGAATTTTACATTAATGGGAACTATATGAAAGTATTATATATCATAAAACTCTATTTACGTTCCAACTAATTAAAATTATATTATTAATTATAGTTAATATGTCATGGTAGGGATATATATATATATAGCTGATGTATATCTTTTTATAATGTGGCATAATTATCCGATGGTGTTAATCCCAGGTTAAATCAGCTTATACTTCTAGGACTTCATTGTTTTTATATATTAAGGAAGGAATAATTATACTCGTGAAACAAAATGCTCTTTAGAATGATCCATATGAAAGGACACCTGATAGTCATTATAGTATTGTTTACATCATTATACTTCGTTAATAACATTATGTGCTGATGTTGAGAGGTATGACGTCAGCACTGAACTCTAACATTGCACAAGACAAATCATACAACACCTGACTACCACACCATGGGGATAGACGGAGTGCACTAACAAGACTATGAATTATTTACCAAACGAAATAAGAATGTTTAAGATATTAGCATTTAACCACTATACGCTATTCATGCTTTATGCTGTGATCCAGAATAACAGGTGTGATTGTTAAGGCATTAATGCGATAAACTAAATGCAATAATTGAACGTTGTTTTAAACACGGATTGGTTCATTTTGTTGTTGACATTTTGGGTTGGTGTTGATGACAGCGTAATGTGGTCTACACTGAAGTCTGTATTGTTGATGGTAATATGTAAAGAAGTGAAAACATTTTGATGTGACTTATTACATTCATATTATATTTAGTTTTATAATTTTTCCAAAATCTAATACCAATTTTGTATAATCATGATCAGAAGTTATAATTGGTTTTTCATGCTGATTCGTTTCATATCTTTACATTTCAATCTTGAGAATTTGCGATACTTTGTTGTTACTGTATGCATGTATGTATGTATGTATGTATGTGTTTATCTCTGGTGTGTATGTGTAGGAATGTCTTTGTATGAGTGTATTCGTATACGGTTATATATATGTAACTTCTATGTGAGTTATTAAGTACACAAACACACAAGAGACACACACACATACACAAATTACGGTACGGTATAGAGACAATGGTCCAAACATAATGGTTTTGCTGGATATTTGTCAACACATAATTACCTTCGACGGCTCTTGCCATCACGGTAAATTTATGTACAAGACTCACAGTAAATTTACGAGATGATCCAGGGCGAACTGCCTCCAGTCACGACACTTACTGAATAACAATCGTTGAAGTGAACTCAACTTACACTTATTACCGCATAACTGTGACTCATATGTCAGGGAATTAATTGATCAATTACACCCAAACTGACAACGATGAACACAATTGCCTGGTATTCATATGACACAACTGGCAACCAAAATACCACCCCCCCTTCTCTCTCTCTCTCTCTCTCTCTCTCTCTCTCTCTCTCTCTCTCTCTCTCTCTCGTAATTATTATTTGTATTAGTAGTAGTAGTAGTAGTAGTAGTAGTAAGTGTACAAATTATAACCTTGTCCTTCTGTTTTTAATGTTTAATTTCTTTTTAACAGAGTATAACTTACAGGTGTAAAGGTCCATCATTTCTGTTCCTTAATTGGTGTTTCTTCTCTTCCTCAGGTGAAAACAAATCGCTACTGTACTCGCCTCTCATCATCATATTCCTCAGCATCGTAGGCGTCTTCCTTAGCCTGATCCTCATCCTCGTCTTCGTCACTCGCTGGAGGAAGAACTACTCCTCCTCGACAGCCTCCACAGCCGTCACCAGCCAAGCCACCGACCCACCGCCAGACCACAGCACACAAGACCGCCCTGGAAAAGAAGAAGTTGAACCAAAGAAAGCGAAGCCAAAGAAGAAAGTGGTAGTGATAGAAAACGGGACTAAGGACAGGATCGGGTTAGGGGATGTATCCGTTGACGTCACTTCCACAAAAGGTTCGTCTTCATTAACCTAGAATTTTGTCATGACCAAAACGGGAAGTATGGAAATCACTGGTTCATCATCATTGAGCTGATGTTTTGTCCAGAGTGAAAAGTGAATAGAGAGAAGATTTGTGCTAATGGGTGTTATGAATGACTCTATAAACGATTGTATTGAACACACGTAACAAAAGGTGTTATTGTTACAACCTTGTTATTTTTGGATTATAAGAAACTCATTTTCTGAACTAGTTTGGCCTGACTCCGCCCCGTTGAATACAAAGAAAATAATATGTGTGTGTTGTGTGTGTGTTTCTGTGTGTGTGTACAGCAATGTCTTATCGTCAAGGACTAATTCCCATCATCATAGGGCGAGGGGGTGAGCTGCTAGCAACTTAATAAGCCTCCATTACGTATCCTAAACTTGAAATAAGTTTAGCATAAAGAATTAACTCTATATTAAGTAAAATCCTTCACACATCTTCATTATCTTTGTTGAATCATTATCAAGTCATGCTTCTCCATCATTATAGATATCCCAATATATTTAAAGTATTTTGTATGGTTTTTGTTTTTAATTTGTTGCCGCGATATTCTTCATTAATAAGAGTCTTCTTTACTGTATAGAAAATTAAGAATTCTGAACGGCTACTTCTTCATCTTCAGGGTCTGCCTTCACCTACTCCTACAGTGAGCCAATCTGTTGTAATTTTTATCTTCCCGTAAAATACAAATTATCATAGCTTTTAAATTATTCGGATGACAATCCTCTTATGAGCTTCAATCTATCGTGACATTCAACCTGTCATAACCTCCAATCGGTCATCTTAAGGTCCAATCCGTCATAGTCACCAATCCGTCTTGACCACCATCCATTCTAATCTTTAGTCCATCATAATATTTTAACTCGGAATGCATTTTCAGTGTGTCATTCGATTCAGTGTTTCATCCATGTTAGTGTGTCATACATTTCAGTTTGTCATACATTGCAGAACATCATACAAGTCAATGTGTCATACGCTAAAGTGATTCGCCATATCAGTGTCATACATCTCGGTCATCATATATTTCAGTGTTATACATTTGTTGTGTGTCATGCATTCTGTTTGTCATACATTTCAGTATTTCATAGAATTCAGTGTGTTACAGTGTGTAGTGTATCTCATTATATCATACATTATAGTGTGTTATTTATTTCATTGCGTCATAAATGTCCATATGTCATACTTTACACTTTGTCATACATTTCAGTCCATCATTCTCAACTGTTCTTTCAGTAATATTAAAATAATAAAAACACACAATATCAATACAAAAAAGAAAAAATAGTCCGAGACGATATGATAAAACAGCGTAAAGCTTAACACACAAATATCAAAACTGCCAGCAAGTATTTCTTCCTCTATTATATCCCTCTATGTACTCTTCCAGTGTATTTAGTATAGCAGTACTGTATATACGAGGCATTACAACTACATTAACTGTATATAGGATGTACATGTGTTACCATATTCTCAGTTAATGTGTTGGTTACTTTTTTCTTTCTCTATATTACTTAATTTACATTTGCAGGAAAAATTCTCTAGCAGGAAAACTGACGGTAAATTAGGAAGAAGAACGAAACATTTATCTTGAGTTTATTCAAAAGGATGCTGGGAACTTACGCCGTTTCGTTACTAATGGGCACTAGATCCTGACCCAATTAATCTATTCTCCTTTGATTCCAAGTTCATCACAGCCATCAGAGGTGCTCATAACCTGTCCCCGATATCCGGTCTTTAATAAGGAGACTTTTTTTTACCAGGTTTCCAGTGAGCGTGAACTCTTTGTGTCTTTGACATAGCCAGACAGACACAATGACAGCGTTATGACGTGAAATGGAATGCTTATATGCTGATTAAACTAAGATGTAACTAATAGTTCTTAATAATGGCTCGTTGGTTTTTGAGGAAGTGAAGCGACCTTAACACTGATCCGGTTAAATGACTTTGACATTAAAAATAAACTTCCTGCTTTACCAAGTCTAATTTCCTCGGGATAGTATGGCATTTGAAAATAATTAAAACTTGATAAAACATTTAAGTGTGTTCTTTGCTCTTACACCTCAAGGGTAGAGTTCTGTGTGTCCAGTGATAGTAAGTTGTTTATGTGCTTATCACGTAGCAATTATGCCTCTCAAAATAGAAGTAATTAATTCACCTTTGAAAAAAATAATGTTACAATTGAAATTAATTATTTCATGCTTTAAGTATTTATTTGTTGACATTTTTTTTATAAAATAGCGTAAATCAGCTCTATTTTGGTTCTACACTTCCTGTAATTTCGTGAATAAGTACAACGAAACAACAAGTACATTAATCATACATAAAAATATTAATTATTCTGTGTTTTTCGTCTTTCTGTTCGAGTTTGAAATTTTGAAATGTCAATTGAGGAACAGTGAAGGTTAATGCCAAATATCCAAAACAAACAAATATTTACCTTAACCAGGGAGGTGCTTTAGCCATCCGCCTCACCTGTCCTCACCTTTGACATTTACGCCACCAGCGGCTCAGGTGTTGATCTCACTCATAAAACTCGTTCCAGCAATACCCAATGCAACGTCATCCTGGTATATATTACGTGAAGGTTTTGCGACACTAGAATTATATTAAATACTGAGAATTAAGGATCTAAATCAGATTTGAGAATTATAGATCATAATCCATCATTTTACCCGAACTTCTTCAGATAATCCAGGTATTAACGGATAGGATTAAGTTATGGACATGAAATTGATAAAGCTAACAAAACTTCATATGTGGACCTTGAAACCTTTTTCTCATAAAGGTAAATTAAATTGAAGTGTGTGTGTGTGTGTGTGCGGTGGCCTGTATTCACTGTTCAGGTTCATTACATTACTGAAGGCAACAATGCAAGTGTAAAAAAAGTGCTGGGTTGTATTATTCGGGGACAAATTTCAAGACTTCATTCATCTAACACCCATACAATTTATAAAGTTCTCTCTTTTGGACATTTCTGACCGCTCGTACGTAGCAAATCTTCATAATATCATGTTATAAGACTTCTTTATACAATTAATTAAGTATTAGAGTTACCTGCAGTTTCTGTGTATGCTATAGAAACTACTCCCACCGTCACACTACACCCTCCGTCACACTACATCCTCCGTCACACTACACCCTCCGTCAAACTACCCCCACCATCACACTACTCCCACCGTCACACTACATCCTCCGTCACACTACCGTCACACTACACCCTTCGTCACACTACTCCCACCGTCAAACTACCCCCACCGTCACACTACTCCCACCGTCACACTACACCCACCGTCACACTACACTCTCCGTCACATTACTCCCACCGCCACACTACACCCACTATCACACTACACCCTCCGTCACACTGCACCCACCGTCACACTACACCCACCGTCACACTGCACCCACCGTCACACTACACCCTCCGTCACTCCAGCCCCTAGTTGCAGCAGTCACCTAACCGCAGTGCTGCATGGTAAAGGCTGTGTTTTATGGGCTCTGCTGCAGACGGTTCCCACTATCCAGTGTGAGCTGGTCGAGGGCCTTATGTTCCTGAGTTTAATGGCTCGCACCAAGACCTGCCTGCTGTAGAAGGTGGTCTAAGGCCTCGTTCTACTGAAGGCTGTGAAGGGGCTGATAATGTTTTGGTGGGCGCTAAAGTTTCTGATTTGATTATATGTGAAGTGTACTGATGGGCTTGTATATTTCACTTCATTCAAAATTTTACGAAGTTGTAGAGAAGAACATGCCTTATAGTCTTATACTAATATGAAACACGTGTAAGAAGTTATTCATACGCTGCACGGGTAAAAATTCCCCGAACGAAATCCCTGGAGAAATTTCCAGTACAAAAATGATAATATGGGCGTAATTTAAACACCTAAAGTAATTTTAAATAGTATTTGGTTCAAGTTAGGTCGAAGTTTTACCTACAAACGATATCTACTGCAAAAGAAATTGACGATCCCGTGAAAGAATTGAAATCTGATGTTGTGCAAGAAATATATTGTATGCTAATAGGGCGCAGATATACAGTAAGTCCATGTATCTGTGTGTATACAACATGAATTAAGAGACGACCCCCTCCCCTCCGCTTCCCCCCCCTTCTTATCACTGTCCTTCGCCTACCCAGAGTAACATGTGATCCTGGAAGACACACCAACAACAACAACAACAAAAAATAGCAATAATAATATAGATATAATTATGTAAGGCTTTGCATGCTATTTATGTTGCAGTTAGTTCATCTATGACTCATTTAAGTGTAGTTGACGTGTTGTATTTACGAGTGAAGAACATTGTTTACTCTACAACATCATTATTTTATGTGAATTTTTAAGACTCGCTGACGTCCATCATAGATAGTTTTCTACTTTGTAAACCTTAGTACTGACTCCCTGATAGAATTTTTTCCTTAAAGGATATTTAATTATGTTCTGTCATCATTTTTATTGTATTTTTTTTTATTCTGTTATCATCCTTAATGCTGGTTGAATGATTGACACACTGCTGCTACACACACACACACACACACACACAAACACACACAGACACACACACACACAAACACACACGTTAAGATCTTTTCTTAATTTTTATCTGGTAGCTTCGCATCATTTTCTTTTTCCTTTCTTTAATGCTTCTTTTTTTCCGCCATTTGCCAGCAAGACAATAATCAAGGGTAAGATGCTGCTTTGATCTGTCTCTTTATTCTTATTCCCTTTTTACCGTTTTTCCAGAGTTCTAAAGTTGTCTGTAAACCTGACAAACATTTAATTTTTCAAAACAAAAAACAACAAACTACTATTTTGCTTCTCGTGACATCACACAACCATATTTTTTATTTTAATTGAGTGACTAAAACAGCTAGTTATCAGTTTTGCTCATATTTACTTATAATAGTATTTTTTTTGCTTCTTTTTATCTATTCCTTATTATACAGTTCGTTTTGTTTCGTATTTTCTGGTTATAGCTGCATTATCTTGCAAGTGCATTTCTTGTTTTCTCATCATTTGCTTGTTATATATTCACACTTTTTTTCTGTTTTCTCCAACAGATGCATTACTCGGGCGACACACAGACTCGCAGACTCTGGCCAATGGCTCGGCGGGTTACTACAACAGTCTGGGCAAGACCTCTTTCCCCTCAACCTTCCCATCTTCCTCTTCTTGTACTCTGCCTCGCCCTCAGAGGAACCCCACCACCACTTCTTCCACCACTCTCCCCCACCACGCACACACATCCCTCACCGCCACCACTAATGTCCACCTACCGGAGGAGACCTACTCTCCCTACTCTCGCTATTCCGAGACCTTACCCAGAAACTACGGTAGGGGACCCAGGGACTTGGAGGACTATCGTAGCGACTCGTATAGAGGCGGTGGCTTAGGAGGTGGTGTTGGTGGGGGCTATCGTAGAAGCACCAGCGGTAACCTTGCGCCCGAGAGCTATCGTGGGAGTGTTAATATCTCCAGTGAGAGCTATCTGGGTGTTGAGAGTGGCGTGTTGGGTGAAAGTTATCGTAGTGGTGGTGTTGGGGGAGGTCGAGGGAGAGTGTTGGGGGAGAGTTATCACAGTGGTGGCGGTGGTGGTGCTAACATTGGACAAGATACATATCATCAAGTAGGCGGTGGTGGTGTGGATCACTATCATGTGGGAAGTGGAGGAGGGGTGGAGACCACGTATCGTGACGGTGGTGCTACACGAACTGGAAAGGACAAATATCACTTGCTGGAAGAACTGAAAAATAACCCCAAATATGTGGTGCGGACTCGGGCTGGTGAACCAAATGACGAAAGTTTTGTGTAACGGGACGAGGCTGTGTTGAGGCTGGACTCTGTGTTGAGGCTGGACTCTAGTGACGACGATTTATTGCCTCTTGAACAAAAACTATTAACCTGGAGTAACAGTTCCCGTGAAACACTGATAAACAAGTCAGTACATGGTGTTTTGACATCTTGTGTGTAAGAGAGCAATGTTGGCTTAGAACAGGGTTGACGGGGGGCAAAATGGATAAATATATATATATATATATATATATATATATATATATATATATATATATATATATATATATATATATATATATATATATATATATATATATATATATATATATATATATATATATACGTACATGAATTTTCGAAAAAAAAATATTACTACTGAAATTTGAATGGGTTTGTTTTGCATTGCGCATTTGTGGTCGCGTGTGTTTATATGTGTGTGTAAATCAGTGTGAATGGCGTCTGTCAACAGACACAACATCAGAATATTCTGTCAGAAAAAGATACTTGTATATGAACTCTTGACTCCACTTGCTGCGCCATGCTACTTGATGATAACTTTGTAAATAAGAGAGAAGTTGGTCGCACGCTTCCCTGTGTGCTAGTGTGTGTAGGCATCAATGTACTCATCACTACTACTACTACTACTACTACTACTACTACTGCTACTACTACACTAGGCTCCCTCTGGCTAGACATGTGTTCCCTGATTCCATGTCTCAAGGATGTGTATGTCTAGCCATGGCTGGTATGAGAGCCTTGGAGTCCAGGTGTGTTAACTGGTAGCCAGCACAAGGAGTTTATTTACATGGCATAATAACATTGTAATATGTAATGATTTAGACGTAAATACATTTTCATGTATCAACGCACACCAGTCCTTAATTTTAACGGATGAAAAAAATGATAGACTAAAGCATTTATGATATATAACGGTAATGTATTATGTATAATGTGTATAACTGTGATAAAAATTGTGAATTTATAGGAGAATATATGAAGAATTTGTCCGCAAGTCGATGTGTTAACAGCAGTAGACCACGACAAGGTAGAAAACACCAAATTATTCCACATTACCTCCAAGGAAATTCAAATAAAAAAAAAACGATCCAGTGAAAGAGGGACAGAGGCAACAGAAATAATGCTTCCTGTTTACTCAAAATCAGACATTCGGGCCAAGATGTGATCCCAACGAGGACAGGAAAAGAACAAGATCACTCAAAAGATTATAATCAAAATTTACTCCTGAAGATCGTTAATGTCTTCCTTCTGTATCTTATATTAATTATCATGAGCCAGAGTCTTAAGCTTGCTGCTGCTAGGGGGATCTTGGTCTCCTAGGGAACATTCTCCTGGGACCTTCTCTTTGGGATGTCTCCACGTAACTCTCGTCTGGAGGAAACATCTCCTGGGATCTTCTTTGACGATATTTTCTGGAATATCGTCTCTGGAAGATCTTAACTGGGGATTTTTTCTAGTATTTTTTTCATGGTAGTCTCTGGGACTTTTTCTCTGGGTATATAACTTAACTGAGAGATCTTCTGCACTTCAATCTTTCTCTCGGGAGTACTTTCTCCTATTAACTTTCTTCGGGAGGTCTCCAAAAGGAAACTCTCTCTTGGGATCTCAACAGCTGCTACTTTTACCTAACTAGGAAGAAAAAGCTTTTTGATGCCGCTTACTTACTATCCCCAGCTTATGTAAGCTTGCTATCCTCCGGCCAGCAAGAAAGACTCTGGCCCATATAATATAGGTTACTGTACAGTAAACATGAAGTATACTAGATATATTTCTATATACTCTCTGCTTTGCGCGACGTTCATATAACAAACAATATGCGTTTTTTAAAAAATGTTTATAAAAACGAAAAAATATATTATTTTGAGGTTTTCTCTTTTAAGATAACTTCAGCCATTTGTGGGTGTTGATAAGATTTTCTTACATAATTTTATGAAGGAAAACCTTTGATTGGAAGACTGATCCTTTGCTCTGTATCCTAACTGTAGCTGTTCATGGTTGTTTATGAGGTGTGTCAACATTTATTTTGCACAAACACAGAGGAAGAAAAGGTTCCTTGAGGTGATCTAGAAGGAGAGACGCGTGAGAGATGAAAAGCCGTGTAATAACTTGATATATTTTTTACACTGTCCCACGACAGGCCAGAAGAGCATAGGCGGTGGACTGTCCCTATTGCTCCAGACAACTTTAACTACGTCCTGGGTTACCCTTATTCTTCTCTTTAAAAACAAAAGCAAAGTTCCCACTGTAGGTATTAACACTATATTCTTCTAATTTTATTAACAAAATAGACATATCATGTGTGGTGGAAGGAATCTGTGTGATGGATCGCAGCCAAACGTCTTTCATTATTCTCATTTAACCTTATATTTCTCGTCTTTTCCTTTTATCTTCATTATTTCTCGTTGTCTATTGACTAAGGTGTGAACAGAAGCCGCTAGGTAACTCTTAGCGTCTTGATGTGTGGTGGTGAAGACTGTTGCTGTGAAGGTGTAGGGTGAGTCTCCTTCCTCTTCCGTTAGGTAAAGTAAGTGAAGTAACCAGACAGAATAACCTTAATGTTTCAACCTTATAGATGAATTAAGATTAAAAAAAATCCTAAATGTTTCTCATTATTTTATATGAAACAATAGATTTGGGGGGAACTGTGTAGATGAGAATCCAAATATTAGTCCAGCATCATTTGGCGGTTGAAGCATGATGAGCTGCTTCTCTCCTTCGTGTAATTATCAACACAGTACAAACCTTCTGTACACATGATTAAATCTGGTCTTATGTAAGAGAGGAGGACGGAGAGGGAGAGTGTGTAGAGTCATCCTTTAAAACAGGGGTCACCAAACTTTTTTCACAGTGGGCCGGATAACTGAAAGAATGACGAGCGCGGGCCGCATAATATTTAAATTTAAATTGTATCACAACGTCTCGTGTTCCATACGTTTTATCAAGCAAATTCAAGTACCGTCGGCGGGCCTGATGAACTGACGTCGCGGGCCGGATCTGGCCCGCGGGCCGTAGTTTGGTGACCCCTGCTTTAAAATAAACACACCGCCCACGAATGTTGGTTCATCTTGATATTTTACTTCGTTTATTATACGTAACGTCGGACTTTCTTTGTCATATTAAAACTTTTTTTGTTTTACTCTTTAGAAATTATTGATTATTATTATTATTATCCTTTTTTTATAGTTTTTTTTGGGGGGGGGTTAAATGAGAATAATAAAACTCAGTTTATAAACAATGCACAAATATATTTTTGCTTCGTTGATTTTGTTAAACTTATTAATTCCTTGTATATCTTTTATGTTTTACTTTCATTCTCCTCTCAAGTTATCAAGGGATTATACACATAAAACAAGTGCCAGTATTTCTTTCTTGAATAGTAATTTGTCCTTGCATCCTTTAGTAGCATGATTCATTTTGATTCCCGTAACAAATTTCATAAAACATTTAAAACTGTGAGAACACACACACACACACACACACACACACACACACACACACACACAGTTTTCATGATATTTCCAAATATCTTTTTACTTTCACCTTGATTACTTTTACATGTAAAGTTTGACACGTCTCACTCAAAGCATAATTTAATGATATAAGAAAATGAAAATGATGAGAATGTTTGGCTTCATGTTCCAGTGAGAAGTGAGAAAGTTTATCTCTTAAGTCAGGGCTAAGACCCCAGCAGTGGCTTATCAGGCTTCTTTGGGATCTTTATATTTTTATTTCAAGCGTTTCGGGAGTGTATGATGAGTCTATCAGGAGACTTCCAGGAAACCTCTAGAGGCTCTTTGGGAACTTATTTTCGTTTTCCTCGTGGGTTTCCAGAGACCTTCCCGGGGCTTTTGAAAGAACTTTGAAAGGCCTTCCAATACTTCTTAAATAATTCTCAAAGGTCTCACTTGAGGTCTTTCAGATCCTAAAAAGAATCATTCCGAGATTTTTAAGAAGCCCTTGAGAGGCTTCATCTGGGATCTTCTATCAAAAACCTCATTAAAACCTGCCTGATATTTCTTACAGAGACTCCCAGGCCTCTCAAGGGAATTCCATTGAGTCGTGGATTTCAGTAAGATTCTTTACGGTAGGATATTTATAGGGACTTTCAGAGGGTATTCCTAAGATATCCTTTCCTTTGGCTTTCCGGAGGTCCTATATACAGTACACTGTCTTAGAAGTCTCTGGGAGTTTTCCAGTGATACCATAATGATTTTCTAGGGGACCACAGAAGTCATTCCGAGACCCCTTTAGAAGTCTCATGCAGTACTTTCATGAACTTCCTTATGGTTTCGAAGCGTCTACCTGAGGTCGCTCTGAGAGTGTTAATGGTGGCATCTTCCAGGGCCTTCTAGGACGTTTCCAGGAAGTCTTCAAAGGGACTTTCATGGAATTCCCCGATGACGCCATGGAGACATTCCTAGGATCTCCAAAAGGTCTTCCAGGAGTCCTTAACGGTTTCCTCGGGACCTTCCGGGGAGTTTTCACTGGGTCTTCCAGGAAGTCCTCATGGGCCGTCCAAGAGCCCTCGAGGACTCTCCTGAAGGTGGCTCTCAGGCAGAACGGGAGAACTTGGTCCATGTTGGTAGACAGGTAGTGTGCCCAACTGGTTTTCTGCTTGTTGTATCTGTGTAAAAAAAAATAAATATAAACATCATAACAGTGATCATTTGTGAACTATGTCTAAATGTATATTGTTATTTGTACATTTTGTAAATAATAAAGAGATGTTATTACTGTATCTGTAGTCATTTGTTTGATATTAACCCCCAGAGAATTAATATATTGACTGATTCTGAAATATTTGCGTTACAATAAGCTGAGTGGACACAATGAATAGATATTTATATTAACAATGACAAAGAAATTATGAAGCTATTTTATGTAATGAAAAGAAATTATCACATCATCAGTTAATCATTGTGCTTTCATCCTCCTTTCTGGGTAATGGGTCCTCAGTTACATCAACAATCATACATCAGTTACACTATGATGCCCTCAACGGGTACACAGAATGTCAACACTGAGCTGATGGCAGTGATGTATTAATAACAGATATAGTGGGAGGAGGTGCTGGGGAGGGGGGACCAATAAGGTGGTAGTCTTCCCCTCTTTCTATACAAGGAAGAAAAGAAGGATGGAAGAAGTATAAGCAAATAAGAAGAAAATAAAGAGCGAACTGTAAAAAAAATGAGAGACGTAAGCAGGAGATAATTTAAGAGAGTAAGAGAGACCTAGAACCAAAAATAGTGAAAAATAGGATAAAATACTAACAGAAACAGAGACAGACTAAGAGAGACAGACAGAGAACATTCACAGGCGGCTGGACCAAACAGGGAAGAACTACAGCAGTAAAGTTGTGAGGTTCAATATAGGTTTGTTTGGAGGCTGTGTATGACGGGCTGGGATGGACCTGTGATTGTCTCTTTGTGCCAAGGAAAAAGATGCCTCTGTGTCCGTGTAAAAGTGGTGGCAGTATTAACCTGTCCAGTGCAGGTTGAGTGTGTGGTAGTTAGGTGAGTGAGATATTAACCTGTCCAGTGCAGGTTTAGTGTGTGGTAGTCAGGTGGGTGAGATATTAACCTGTCCAGTGTAGGTAGAGTGTGTGATTGTCAGGTGGGTGAGATATTAACCTGTCCAGTGTAGGTAGAGTGTGTGGTAGTCAGGTGGGTGAGATATTAACCTGTCTAATGTAGGTAGAGAGTGTGAGAGTCAGGTGGGAGAGAGAGACAATCCTCAAGAGAGAGAGGTCGTGATATCATTTACAAGACCTAGATACTTTATTTGATTTCTGATATCATACCGAGTTATATATTTTTTATCCTATCTGAAAAAGTCTGTAACATTGTAAGGCTTATAGTCCACAATTACAAAATATTTCACTATAGCTGCAGGGACATACGTAATTTGAATGTGCTTTTGTGTTGAAGTTTATGGTAAAAAACATTGATGATTTGTGTGGATGTGTGACAGCCTAGCGCGAGATACACCATTGTTTATGATTTATCCTCAACATTACTGGTAGTAATAATTATCTTAATGTTCATTGTATCAGTGTTTATGTGAGAATACTTGTTACACCTCACGTAAAATACTTCCCCACCATTAGATATGTCTTAATGATAATGTCATATCTGCGTGTGTGTGTATGTGCTGATTCGAGGCCTTGTGTGTTCATATGACTGATTTATTTATGTAAGTTGTGTAAATATTATAAGTTATGTAAGGGAAAGAAGTGGTTATAGTTCAGGAGATTTATTTTGAAGCCAAAATAACGAAGGTTTTAATAAAGGTCACATAGATTGTGTTAATAATACATCATTACTGCTTCACTGTTCCGAACTACTTGAGGGTGGTTGACCGGATTCATTTTTTCCCTAGATGTGAGAGTTGGTAAGACAAAGCACGACCCCACACAGTCAGTTTACGCTCATCCTCAGACAGTGTAAGATCCTCATGATAGGATTGGTGAACGAGTCCTGCACTGACGGCCTTATTATACAACCTTGTGGTAAAGTAGCCTATGTTTTGAGTGTGTTAGTTCATTCTCAATCTTTTATGTGAGATTTTCCTTACTCCTGTCTCATCCTTCATCCCCCCTTTATATTTTAGGGTAGTGTAGGAGTAACTACACTCATACTTATAACACCTGACATTTTACAATTACTGGTTTCCAAACTAATATTTGAGACACTTGTCCATCCATAGTATTTTTTATATGATCGAATTGGTTTAAATCAACATGGGTTACAAAATTGCTAGATAATCCCTTCATCCTTATCAGCCTGGATCTTCTTGGCTGTGATTGGTCAGCCGGTTACAGCACGCTGATTGGTTAATGCATTATTCCTCATTAACATCATTTCAGTAACAATCAACAGGTGAACGAACTCTTGTGAACTCGTCCTAATTATGTGTCACCTGGCAGTCCATCAGTACCTGGGATCTCTCTATTTTCATCCTTTTAATTTTTTCCTTTTCTGACTGTCTCTCACTGTCTGTCTGTCTGTCTGTCTCAGTCTCTCTCTACTTCCTTCCTACCTCCACATTTCATCATCCCCCTCTGTCTTCTTCCCTCCGCCCTACTTCCCTGTCCAACTCCTAAACTGGTTGTCTCTTGGACAGATCAATATACGGGGGTCAATTAACACTTTCTGGCTCTTGTTGATATTTTCTGTTGACTCGCCAGCTGCTGGTCGGTGTGGGGGGGTGAGGGGATAGGTGATAGAGAGGGGAGGGGTAGGAGGTCGGTGGGGGGGGATAGGTGATAGAGAGGGGGAGGGGTAGGAGGTAGGGAAGGAGACGAAGAAGGATTATGCGGGCCTGGTCTCCGAATCGATTTTTCTGGAAACTTCTGTCTGTCTGTCTGTTTGTCTGACTGTGTCTCAGTCAGGATTAACTTCTAACTCATCCTAAGTTCATATAATTAACTACATTATGCCGTAAGTATTCGGGTCTTTGTCAATGTTTTGTACTGGGCACTGAAGCAATTTTATTTTATTCAGACAAGTGAACTGCTCGGTGAATTGTTAGCAGCACGTCAAGGATCGTGGGTATGGTCATGTGACTGAGGAGGCGACGGAGGGCGGCGAGTGGGAGGGGGCAGTCGGGGACCAGCAGTGACAGTGGCTACATGACTACAAGGCAGTAAGACGAAGCTCTACCTTCCTACACTGACCCCAGCTGACCGTGGTGTGTGTGTGGGCTCCACTAACTGTGCTTCATACAGCATTCCCGTAACTTTCACCTGCCTGCCATTCCGACTGCCCTAGCCTGCCCTCCTCTGTCTC